CTCCTCCATTATGAGCCATTAGCAGTTCCTATATTAACCCATGCTCTTGTTTTTCTCGTGGATATACTGCGTGTCCTTCAAACTCCAGCAAGAAGGAAAACAGAGTTAAATTGCCCACTAAGTCCAACAAACAACCATAAAATAGAATATAACACAGATAATAGATAAAAACATATCCAGAATTACAGTAATAAAACAGCAGATTGACTAATAAAACACATGAACTAAAATCCATCTGAAACAGGTGAGTTTTAGATAGCTTTTCAAATAGTAGCAACTGAGAGCAGTTTTGATATACTGTAGTAGTGGAGATAACATAAAAGGCCCTGTCTTTAGTGCCCACCCATCTGAATGATTTTAAAGAATGATCAACATTTTAGGCTTCTGACACTGATCTTGTTTGTTTGTTTGTTTGTTTGTTTGTTTGTTTGTTTGTTTGTTTGTTTGGCTTTTACCCTGCCCATATGGATTCAAACAAATCTACTCTGGGTGGCTTACAGTCTCCGTAATATAAAACAAGAATTAAATCAGGTAACATCTTAAAGCACAGGTGGGTTCATATGAGTGGATGCTAAACCCATTATTTTGCTTCCACAAGAACCAAAAGCAAAATAGATTACTTATCTGTAACTCTGTTTCTTCGAGTGGTAATCTGTGAATTCACACTAATGGGTTTAATCTGCGCTTGCGCAGAGGTCTCTGGAATATTCTAGAGCTTTCTTTCTTTTCCTTCCTTCCTTCCTTCCTTTGTTTGTTTGTTTGTTTGTTTGTTTGTTTGTTTGTTTGTTTGGCTTTTACCCTGCCCATATGGATTCAAACAAATCTACTCTGGGTGGAAATCGAGCATTGGCAGGAGGGAAGGCCTGCCTGAAGAGCCAAGTTTTTAATTAGCTCTTGAAAACACCCAGCAAGGGTGCCAGGCAGATCTCTGGCGGCAAGCTGATCCAAAGTTGAGGGGCCACTGCCGAGAAGGCCCAGTTTCTTATTCTTTCTTTCCAGTCTTTCCAGGCCCCTCTTGGCGTCAGACCCCTCAGCCGTCCATCCTGGCTGTAGCGAGTGACTCGAGTAGATCTAGGTGGGAGAAGGCGTTCTGCCAGGTATCGAGGTCCTAAACTGTTTAGGGCTTTGTATGTCATCATTAACACTTTGAAGTCAATGGGGAAATGAATGGGCAGGCAATGCAAAGCAGCCAGAATGGGAGAGATATGCTGGAATTTTCTCGCTCCACTGAGTAATCTGGCTGCTGCCTCATTCTGCACCATTTGAAGCTTCCACATCAATCTCAAAGGTAGCCCCACATAAAGCACAGTACAGTGGTCTAATCTCAAGATTACAAGCACATGGACCAGAGTGGTAAGTGTACCACCATCAAGATAGGGACGCAGCTGGGCAATCCGCCACAAATGGTAATTGGTGGAGTGGACCACTGATGCCACCTGGAATTCCTTGGTGAGTGCCAGGTCCAGATGTACTCCCAAGTTGCGAACCTCACTTTTTGTGGTGAGAGTCACACACCCCCAAAAGAGAGGGAGTTTCCCAAGCCACCAATTGAGGGGCCACCCACTCTCAGGACCTCCGTCTTGTCCGGGTTCAGCCTCAGCCCATTTTCCTGCATCCATTGCAGTACAGCCTCCAGGCAACGCTGAAGGGACAGAACGGCATCCACTGAAGTAGGTGAAAAGGAGATGTAGAGCTGTGTGCCATCGGCATACTGATGGCACGAGGCTCCACACCTGATGACCTCACCCAGTGGCCTCATATAGATGTTAAACAGCATTGAGATTGAGCCCTGCAGAACCCCACAATTGAGACTCCACGGGGCCAAGATATTCTCCCCAAGCTGAATTCTCTGAGGTTGGTCCTCCAAGTAGGATCGGAGCCAGGCAAATGCCAGGCCACTGATTCCCAACTCGGAGAGCCTCCCCAGTAGGATACCATGGTCAACGGTATTGAAGGTGACTGAGATATCGAGGAGGACCAACAAGGACATTTTTCCCTGTCAGCCTCCCTCAAGCGGTCATCCAACAGTGTGACCAGTGCTGTTTCTCTGCCATAGTGTGGCCTGAAGCTTGACTAGAATGGATCCAGGGCATTGGTTTCATCCAAAAGAACCTGAAGCTGATCAGCCACCACCCTCTCGACCACTTTACTAAGGAAAGAAACATTGGTGATGGGCCTATAAGTGCCAATATCATCCGCCGCCAAATTTGGTTTCTTTCTAATGGGCTTAATGAGTGTCTCCTTGAGGGCAAGGTTCCTCTTGCCCCCCTGGAGAGCCCTATCAATTATCACAGTAGCCCATTTCATTGTTACAGGCCTAGCTGCTTTGATTAGCCAGGCTGGGCAAGGAGAGGTGGTGGTGCCCCGGCAGCAATCAAGCACTTTGTCCACCATATCTGGCATCATAGGCTGAAATGATATGTTCATCAAGGACCACCCACGTAGTCCGCCCGACCTGGCAATTACCTCAGTTCCGAAGAATAGCCCACCGCTGCATCAAAGTGATACAGGAGTGACGGACAGAGGGGAGGATGGGCAGGAAGTGTGAATTCACAGATGACCACTCGGAGAACCAGAGTTACAGGTAAGTAACCTCTCTTTCTTCTTCATGGTCTCTGTGTAGGCACACTAATGGATGATTAACAAGCTAACTTACTGGAGGAGGGACATGGAAGAAGAGAAGAAAGTATAGCTCTCCCAAATGGTGCATCCTTTTTGGCTCTCAGATCGAGGCGATAGTGGGTGGCAAATGTAGATGGCATTGCCCATGTGGCAGCTTTACAAATGTCCAGGAGTGGTACTTCATGAAGAAAGACTGCTAAGGTAGCCAGAACTCTAGTAGAATGAGCCTCAATATCAGCAGGTAGAGGCTGTTTGGCGAGTTGGTATGCCAGCTTTATAGTGGAAACAAGCCAACAGGATATAGTTTGAGAAGAAATATGGGAACCTCTATGAGGGAGGTGTGGTTTTACAAAAAGTTGATTTGATTTGCGGAAGGAAGAAGTCGGTGAGACATAGAAAGTAAGTGCATGTCTAAAATCAAACATGTTTAGAGATTGTTCTAGATCAGTCGTAGGTGATGGAAAAAAGGTAGGTAAAACAATAGGTTGCGAGAGGTGCAAATGCAACACAACCTTTGGTAGAAAGGAGACATCAGAGAAGAGGGTGATGAAATGAAGGATCGACCCTGAGGGCACCAAGTTCCGAGACTCTACAAGCAAAAGTAATGGCGACCAGAAAGAGTGTCTTGAGGGAAAGGAGGTGCTCTGAGACAGTAGCAAGTGGCTCAAATAGAACACAGGTAAGCCAGTGAACAGGTAGAGACCATTGTGAGGAAGGTGCAGGAGCAGAAGGACGCATATTGTAGACACCTCGAAGGAACAGTTTCAATGTGGGATGATGAAAAAGCAGAGCAGCATCGGAATTTTGAGGTTGATGAGCTATTATAGCAGACAGGTAAATCTTGAGAGTAGAGAGGGAGAACTGTTTATGTAATAGATGCTAGAGAAACTGGAGGACAGCTTGCAGGGTTGTAGGAGTGGTAAGAAGAGGATGCTGAAGAGCAAACTTTATGAAGGCAGTCCATTTATAGGAATAGAGCTTAACAGTGGCAGGTTTTTGGGTGTTAGCTAAGACGGCGTCTACTGAAGGTGAATCCTCCACACCGTGAGATGGAGAGTGTGAAGATTGGGGTGGTGAGTCTTGCCTTGGTGCTGTAAGAGGAGGTGAGGAATGAGAGGCAGCTGGAGGTAATCTATGGCAATGGAGCAGAGCATGGTGAACCATGGTTGTCTTGGCCACCAAGGGGCAATGAGGATTGCATTGGAGCGATCATGATGGATTTTGGCTATTGTTCTGAGAAGGAGAGGGATGGGGGGAAAGAGATAGATGAAGTGTGTGGTCCAGTCTGCCATCAGTGCATCTCCGAGGAATCCATGTCCCATGCCTGCCCTTGAATAGAAGAGGGTGCATTTTGAGTTTTGGGATGTGGCGAACATGTCAATTTGTGTTTGACCCCAGCTCTTGCAAAGGTGGAGAAATGCAGACTGGTCTAGACACCATTCGTGCATCTGAGTATGCAGTCTGCTGAGGGTGTCTGCTACAAGATTGTCTTCAGTGGCAATATGTACTGCTACAGGAAAAATGTGGCATCCTAGACACCATACCCAGAATTGGATGGTGAGATATAGCAGTGGAAGGGAGTGTGTGCCTCCTTGCTTGTTTCTGTAAAACAACATGGTGGTGTTGTCGGTTGTAACTTGAATGGCATTGCCGAGAATGATCGGTTCGAAGGCTCGGAAGGCTTTGAAAATGGCTAAGAGTTTGAGATTATTTATGTGAAGAGCCCGCTCTGCGTGGACCAGGTAGCATGAATATGAAGGTCACTGCAATGAACCTCCCATCCGGTAGGGCTTGCATCAGTGGTGATCTGAACTGATAGTCGAAGGACTGTCTGATGAACAGGTTGGATGGAGTGTCCCACCGGAGGAGCTAAGAGAAGAGCTTGGGTGTGACTTGGAGAAGTTTGGATGATGGGTCTGTCATAGGATTGAAGAGGGAGAGATACTATAATTGTAGAGAGTGCATCTTTAGCATGGTGTGCTGAATGGCCAACGTGGTGGAGGCCATAAGGCCTAGGAGATGTTGAGTCAAGTGCACTGTGATGAAAGAGTGAGGAAGAAATTGACCGATGAGTGTGCGAAGTTTGATCACCCTTTCTAGAGGAAGAAAGACTCTTGCCTTGGTAGAGTCAAAGACTGCACCTATACAGTGGACCCTCGACTTGTGAAATTAATCTGTAGTGGAACAGTGGCTGCAGGTCAAAAGGTCTGTAGGTTGAGGCTCCATTGACCTACAATGCATTGAAAACCGATTAATCCGTAACCGGCCATTTTTGTTCCGTTTCTGTTCCATTTTGGTTTTTTTCTGGTCTGTAGGTCGATTCTCCGGCTGCAAGTAGAATCTAAATTTTGCGGCCAGAGAAGTCTGTAACTCGAAAAGTCTTTAAGTGGAGCCGTCTGTAAGTCGAGGGTTCACTGTATAGACAATGTGTTGTGTGGGAGTAAGAGTGGATTTTTCTTTGTTGCTTTTGAGGCTTGATGGGTTGGATTCATTTTAGCGTAACCATACGAAAACGTCTCTGAATGATATAGCAGTTGAGGTCCTGAAGATCGAAGATAGGTCATAGACCGCTGTCTCATTTTGGGACAGTGAAATGGTGGGAGAAGACCCCTGGATCGTCTTCTGAAGGATTGACCGGTGATATGGTGTCCTTTAAGAGAAGATATCGCGGAGGTGGGAAGATGAATTCTATGGCATAACCTGTAGCGATGATGGTGAGGACCCAGGAGCCGGTGGTGATAGACGCCTAAGATGGAAGATGGCCCAAAAGACAAGTGACGGTGGGTGAAGAAGGGTAAGCTGAGCAGATCTGGGGGATGAAGAAGTCAGAGATTCTGTTTTTGTTTCTTATCAGGGTGACAGAAAGACTGTTTGGGGCGGTGACGTTGCACTGCGTGTCTAGGTTGAAAGGAAGGAGCAGGATGTGGAGGATACCTATTCTTGTCAGTGAATGATCTGAATTGTTGGTAAGAGTAAGGACAGTGCCATTGATATCGTTGTGGCTTGTAGTATGATTGGGTGTTATATGATCATGCTGTCTTTTTCAGTTTTTGCAGGTTGCCCAGTATGTCATCGGTCTTTTTGTCGAATAGTCCGGTACCATCGAACGGTAAGTCTTCGATTCTCATGCGAGTGTCATCTGAGATATCGTAACCAGGTATGTCTACGGAGGGCTATAGCAGTAGCCATGTTCCCTGGATGATGCTTCAATAATATGTCTGGCTGTGATACGCTCCTGACGTGCAAGGGCCATGGCCTCCTGGTGGAAAGCAAGGCCACAATGTTTGTATTCACATGAAGCTGATTGCAGTGATGGGAGAGCTTTGTTTCAAAGATAACAATGATAAATTCCCATAGCTGCTAGATAATTAGCAGCACAGAGAGTAAATGAGGTGAGGGAATAGATTCTATGGCCGACAATGTTTAATTTTGTTCTTTCCTGTGTGCGACTTTGGTACTGGAGGGGGTGGTATGAAGTCATCATCCGACGAGGAACAGTAGAAGCCATGATACCGTAGTCGATATTGAGGGGAAGGGGAAGATTCAGAGAAGTCAGATTGGTAATAGTATCGGTGTTGAGGGTGTTGACGGTCAGTATAGAAGTTGAGCTCAGGTTGGTAATACCGATATGCTCAATGTTGAGAGTGTTTGAATGTAGGGTCATAATACTGTGGAGGCTCATAGAGCATGACTTGTTTGGAGTGGTGATACTGATTAGAAGGCTCTTGAGATGCCAGAGACCCAGTTGGAGTCATGGGTCATACGGGATTGGCATCAGAATGACACATCTGTGACATGTGATGGGTCTTCCTTAACCTCTTGCACAGAGGTGAAATGTTAGGTGATTCGGAATCATCCATAGAGATGGAACAACCCGTGGACATGAGGCTCAATTGTGCCAATCTAGGCAGGATGGTAACCTAAGCAGGATAGAGCACAGAAGATGGGGAATGTGCAAGTAGTGGAGATGGAGGTTGACCAGAAGGAGGAAGAAGTGTCTCTTCTTGTGAATCAAGGCGGATTGTAGGCTGGTCGTGTAACGGTGCTAGGTCTGGTATCCCTTTCTGTTCAGTTGGATATAGGGAGTTTTCAGTTAAGTATTTATATATAGATCTTGCAAGTACTCCTGTGAGGAGTTTGAACATTGTTGGAAGACATGTAATTGGTCAATAGTTACTGGGTTCATTGTCCTTTTGATTAGCTTTTATTATCAGAATGTGCAGCCTGTTTTGTCATCCAGTCTTCAGTTGTAAAATTTTGAAGTAAATGGTTAAATTGCACTGCTATATGTTGATGGAGACTTGTTAGAAGCTTTAAACAAAATCCGTAAAGCTCATCTGGACCAAGAGCACTCCATTTTTTCACATCCTTTACTTGCCTCTTGATCATTTTAGTTGCTATTAAAATAGCATCCATTTGTTTTCCTTGAGTTTCTTGACAAATGTCTTTAATCCATGAGGTGTTTTTGTTACGTCCGGTTGGGCTTTCCCACATTACTTTCTAGAATTTTAGAGCATCATCTTTACATGGGTGTAATGAGCTCTGTATTTATATATCACAGAGATATAAAATGGCAAATGTTTATACAACGCATCAAAATACAGAGATTGTGGTTGGTTGGTAAGACAGTCAATGGGATTTTAAGCCTAGGTTGGTAGTGTCTTTGATATATAGGTATATCTCATTGAAGCTTGTCCTATAAAGGATGTAAGAACCTCTGTCATTAATAACAATGGTAGAATAAGTAAATTATACTGGTGAGACTGGCCTTTTACAGAGTGAATGACATTTTCTTTATAGGATGTCTGGGGTAATTCACACATCACAATAGATTACCACAACAGCAAAATAGCAATGAGTTAAGACTCTCTGGTTTACCTTTGGAGTATTTTAGGTGGATCTGTTGAGTGTGGGGGGATACATCTGGGACATACAGTACAATTATCGTAATGCTAATATTTTGTAGTTTCCTAAAAAGTTTTGGCTTATAATATATTTTATCTCAGCTGTCTCTCTCTGGATTCTTGTTCTATAGTTTCTTTTTTCCAGTATAGTTATTTTTAGATTGTGTACAATGTCCTTGTAAATTAAAATAATGTGAAACAGGTTTCTCTGTATTGTCATTCCTGATGTCTGATTCTTTTGCATAGAGATTGTTTTATTTGTCCTATGTAGAGTGCAGATGGGCACTGTTGGCAAAAGATGGCATAAATAATATTGGCAGAGGAACAGATGAAAGAACCTTTGATACAATGTGTGACATTGTTCGGTCATTGTTTATTCCAGCAGGAGAGTTAATTTGACCCTACCAAATCCACAGACTTATTAAGAGGAACCAAAATGGATGACAAAAATGAGAAGACAAATGAGAAAACAAATTAATCAAGGACAAGAAAACTGTATAAATGAGACTTTTTGACTGAAAAGATGGAGTTTCTGTATGAGCAAGTAAGCCCTTGTGAAAGATGGAGACAAGATAAGCAATGCCTTGTTCAGCAGCTCAGCAACTTCAGAAATTTAACAAGACAGAAGACAATGGCATCCATTTATGAGACTATGCTGAAACACGGTGTACTTGCAAAAAATAAAAAAGGACTGAAAGTCTACATGGACACCAGTGACATTTTTCCCTGACAAAAGCATGAACATATAAATGAAGAGTACAGATTTTCTGGACCTGCCTCTAAGCACTGTAGAAATCTTTAGCTGCAACTCTGATCAACATAAAAAGTCCAGAATGGAATTCCCAGAAGGGAATAGTATGGGGAATTGCCATTTCTCTTCCATATGTATCACCCACTTTTCTGCTTCTCTGTCTTCTTTTTTTGTTCCATGCTTGTGCTAGAGTATTGTAACTATGAACTCCTTAGAATGCTTAGTAGCTTAGCATAAACTAGAATGATTTAGCATTTAAATGGCCCAAAGGGAGTTTAGAATGATGAACGTATTATGCAGGAGAGCTTGGTTCTCTGTTGTTGTATTATTCCCAATAGCTTTATTTTGCTATTGTTGAACATCACTATATTATTTCTTTACTCCTGTTCTTGAACCATTTACTTTTCTTTTATCATCTTATGTAGCTATTTAGTCACACTATGATCTCTTTATTATCTCTCTATAATGCACTGCAGTTCAGGAAAACCATTTAATTTATTACAAATACAGTTTTGAGACTTCTGGTTCTTTCTACTAACTCAGCTTTATCCATGGATATACAAATTATGAACCATCATGGATCAGTGGACAATTCGAAATTAGTAAGCAGAGGTTTCTGATGCCTTCATATTCTAACAATATCAATAATGAGAAAGTGTTCTCTTTAAATAAACTGTTAGGATTCTCCATATGTAGCAATGTCACTAAATAGAGATCTTAAAGAGTAATAGAGTTAGGTTTGTGAAGGAGACACACACACATTCACTCACATAAGCACAGGGGGTGGAGAAGGCGAGGGAGTATGGAAAGCACCCCAGTGAGTGGCAAACTTCACAGACACAATTTATACAAGCAGGTGCATTCACATGAGCCAAAACAATTGAAAACAAATTGATTTCCCAAGTGAACAACCTTCACACAACTGAGTAAAGTACTTCATCTTCTAACTTTAAAAAAAGCATCACAGACAAAACAAAAAACAAAAAAAACCCAAACAAAAACACCATGTGAATCATGGAGACACTTTTAAAAAATATTATTTCAAACATAATAACCCAATTCCAGATGTAACCACACTCTAAGATGACCTTATTTTGCTATATTTCTGGTAGAGCTGGAATTGGTTCTCCCTTCAGAGCCCACCTCTGAGTTTATGGGTGTTCTTGTTGAAAGTGGTGGTCTATAACTCAGCTTAAATCATTTGGGGCTTCAAAGCTTGCAGTCAGCACTTTGACATCACAAAAAAAGCCCTGCTGGATCAAACCAAAGGCGTACAATAACCCAATGTTCTGTGATCAGCCAACAGCAGAGTATGAATGCAATAGCATATTCATGCCCTTTCCCCAGTAACCGTGAATTGGGAAGCATTGACTTTGAATTAGTACTAAAAGAGAACAGGAGCAAATGAAGTTGGGAAAATATTGATGTTATATGTTCTGGCAGAGAGGTTTCTGCAAGCATTCTAGCCACAGCATTTTATACCAGCTGAGATTTATGGATACTTTTCAAAGCAGCTCTAGAAAAACACCATGTAAGTACCGTATATTAATGAAATCATTCAGCAGGTTCTTTGTTGGATTCAGAAAACAAGGTATTTTCAATTTGTAACAGTGGTTTTTTTTGCCTTTAGAAATTAAAGAAAAACTAGAATTTAAGAATTTAATGAAAAAAAACTTTAAAAAAACCCAAGATAGAGATACAAATATTTTCTGGAGAGTTATAGGAAAATTTGGATATTTGGTAAAGAAAAGACCAGATTAATAGTGAAAGCAACTGGGTACGAGAAAGATTAAGAAAGGCAAAAATACTAAAAGGTTTCTCAGCCAAGGATTTCAGTGACAAATCTGCCTGGAAAAGAAATCTCCATTAAGTCTGATAATATTCAGCAAATTGCACTATTAAATATTTTCTGGAGAGTTATAGGAAAATTTGGATATTTGGTAAAGAAAAGACCAGATTAATAGTGAAAGCAACTGGGTACGAGAAAGATTAAGAAAGGCAAAAATACTAAAAGGTTTCTCAGCCAAGGATTTCAGTGACAAATCTGCCTGGAAAAGAAATCTCCATTAAGTCTGATAATATTCAGCAAATTGCACTATTATACCCAGTTAACTAGAATTTAAGAATTTAATGAAAAAAACTTTTAAAAAAACCCAAAATAGAGATACAAATATTTTCTGGAGATGTATTATATTAAAATATTTCTTAAAACATTAAAACATTAAAATTAATTAATTAAAATGCTGGGTGAACAGAAAGGTCTTTGCCTGGCGCCAAAAGGCCAAGAGTGTCGGAGCCAGGTGGATCTCTCTAGGGAGGGTGTTCCAAAGTTGGGGGGCAACAACCGAGAAGGCCCTATTCCGACATGCCATCCCCTTCACCTCTTACCCAGTTTCCTAGAAAAAAATTCTCAGTATATTCAGTGGTGCCTGTACAGGAATGTAAGGCAAAATCCAAAGAAACAAAACAAAACAAAAACAAACAAGACAACATGGGGCACCTTAAAGACTATAATATTTTAAAGTGAGATTTTGTGGACACACCCACTTCATCAGACATATGGACCCAGAATGAAATTTGGTATGAATGTCAGACATATGGAAACAGAATGAAATTTGGTATGAAATATTAGTTTCAAAAGTAGATTATTCTAAATATTCATTGGCTACAGGCAGTAATTAGGCCTATGTTTGTTTTAGGGTTCAATTGTAAAAATTACTCCAGGAGACAGAAAACAAACACCAGGTCTGAGAAAAGATTGGGGGGGGAGAGAAAGAAAAAAGTGAGAGAAAGGGTAGGTTTGTTTTTTGTTTTTGTTTTTCTAAGACTTGGGATTCAGCTAGGAGTGTGGAAAGGATTACATGAGTATAAATATAAAAGTGAAAGAAGATTCCAGAGGAATCACGTATAAAGAAATGTGCTGGTAAATATATATTTTAAAACTGAAGTATCCCATTAAATAAGCACACAATTGCCTTTTCCCTTTCTGAAGCAAGACATGGGGAAACAGAGATTAATGACTGAAGATACAAACAACCGATCTTCTAATTTTTAGAAGATTTTGCCACAAGGCAGAAACTATCATAGTTCTGTTTTGCATAATCTATACAATTTATGTAAAATTGTGCTCCCCCCCCATATGAGAACTCTCACCAATAACGGCACATAATATTTTGCCATGTTCCAAGTGGAAGAAAAAGTTTGTAGTCCCATGTTTTTGTTCACAAGAGCAAGACAAGTGAAGATATAAGGGAAGTTTTAGTTGATCAATAATACCTTAACTTTGTTGAAATAGCCTTTTCAATGTAATATGCCAGTAGTCTAGCAGTAAGGTTTTCGTGACCTGTAATCCACTGAAGCTAAAAAATAGTGTGATACCATGGAAAATAGATATACAGATGGTTCATTATGCAGGCAATACTGAAAAGACTGCAAATGCATAAGGCTTAAAGAATTTTTGCTCAAACAACAATGCTAAAAATGTATAACACAAGTAGTGCTATATATTACTGTACGTATTATTTTTTTAAAATCAGCTTCAATGTCGTATACCATAACTGTGTTATGTAATGATTTCTGCCACCCAACAATTCACAAAGTACTAGCCACTGTACATACGCAATTACATTTCATACTTTAATATTGTTAAAATATTTCAAAATACAAAATGTGTTTTAATATGTTCCTACACAAAGGATGTATACTAGAAAAGTCAACTAACAAAACGACTTCAGCAACTCCAATGCAAGAGTCTATATTGTTGCTTATAACTATCTATTATTTGTAAATAATAAAAAAAGCAAACCTTCCTGCAGAACCAAATGCCAGTTAAACATGGGAAATACAATGGAGTGGAAAGAGATCAAAGAAGCAAGTACAACAATGAATGGCTGGGGGCAGTGAACCCAAAAGCAAGAGGAACCACTTTGTTGTATCATATTATTTCACTTTGTGAGTACTAAGGACTCTCAGGGAAGTTAATAAGCATCATGTCACTAATCATCTGAAATACACACCAGATTTAATAATGAACCCATTATCTGACTAAGCCTCTCACTGTAAAGGGCTATTGAATATCTGCAGTTCACATTGATTAAAGTCATCCCATGGAGAAGTTAACAAAGGTGCTGCACTGCTCTGTTTGTGGAATCTGAACCATAATCTAAAACTCTTACCTGTGTTTAATCCATAAGACTTATTATGTTAATTAATGGGAGGCGTGTTGGATTCACCACAATTTACTATACAATGAGAAACTGGCATACAATTTACACTGAATGATGCAAAAAGGGTAAAGTGGAAACACCGGTATCTTGAACACCTACAATATCATACTGATTCAAAAATTAAAATGTTGTGGCACAACTTGCTAAGTACAAAATTGTCTACATGTCAAATCCAGACACAATGAATAGATGAAGCAAGGATAACATTATAGGTCATCTTATCTCAAAAGAATTAGCATCTCTTCTGGAAAAAAAATGTTGAATTGCATTTTATCTGGCTTAAAGTGCACTGAAACAATTAGCATAGACAAAGGGTACATGCAGAAAGTGTAATTACAGCTCTCCTATGTAAATGATGCAAGCTGAAATACAGACCAAATATGCCCATACTTCACCCACATCATCTCTACATCCTTCCCTCTCCCCTTGGAAAGGTAAAATTCCAGCATCTGGTCTGCAGGACCTTGGGTGCCTTAACTGGGAGAGCTTCACCCACATCATCTCTACATCCTTCCCCCAGCATCTGGTCTGCAGTACCTTGGGTGCCTTAACTGGGAGAAACATGCCATAGAAATGAAAGTAACTCAATAAATTGTAGTGGTGGTGGTGACAATGACGACGACGATATGGTTATACTAATACTTTATGCCACGTTTTGTATGCATGACCAGGGCATGAAGATTTCCATTGTTCTATTGCTCAGATATAA